ACTTCTGAATGGACTACACGATAATCAGTATTACAGCCGGAGTCAATGCCGAGTAGCGAGGGATGATCAATCTTTCGCATATGTCGGCATGTTGCACGATTTCTGGCGCGTACTGTAGTGTTTTCATAATGGTGCGAAAGGTTAGCCCATGATACCGATTTAGGTAAGGCTGACTTGTATGGCCGCCTAAACAGATCACGGTAATAGGAAAGCCCTACACACTTAAAATAGATGCGGTAGATATTTCCGTGTCTTAACCTTAACGCAAACCCAAAAATAAAGCAAAACCGTCACCGTCCCACTACCCTTAACCCTGCCAAATATTTCAGGAAGGACAAATGTAAACTAAAAGGCAAACATTCCAAGAAATGTAATTTCAAGGAAAAGGCTTTCCTCATTTTCCTTAAATACACCTTTTCCTTGAAAAGGGCCAGTATTTCCACATCTTTACCCTAGCGCTAACCCTCACCTGCAAATAAGCTGTAACCTTAATCATATCCCTGACCCTATCCTAAACCTAAATCCTACAATTATCAGGAACTCAAACCATTACCCCTAACATAATCGTGACTCTAAACCCAACGTCGACTCTACCCCCACCCTTGAACTTAATCTTAAACTTACCGCTTCTCCTCACCTTAATACTTTACTTAATTTCCTCGGAATTGGGGGGTGGTCTATAGTAACGCGTCTTGCTAAGGCGGCTAGACAATTGATCCTAACGGCGATTTCTTTCGGAAGATGTTCTTCCTATACGGCATGACGCTATTTGTCGAGGTCCACTAATTAATCCGTCATAAAATTTGGTACGGTGTTACCTTGCGACTTCTAATTCCATCTAATTTCTCATAAATCACCAGGGTAAATTACGAATCCTTCTTAAAAGTCCTTTTAGGCGGACTACAGAAAATTTAACAGCTATTTAAAAACCTATGCCATTGACGCACACTAGGTCTCGGCGCGGGCGTATGGGTCGGTTTACTGACATAAGTAATTGCGACGGATAAGTTAAGCCTCATTCGATCAAAGACTGCCCACTTTCCCCGTGAGCAGGTAACTAGCTGACTACAATTAGCCAAAAGAAGCCAAGTTAAATGCGTGCTGGGCGTCACCTCGTTACAATTAAACGATTTTTCCCGTGTCCTATTGGCTTCCCCACGACCTCGGCCACTCAAATCGCCTTGCCTGAGGGACGGTGGGATCACGCAAGTGCAAGCGGACATGAGCACGCAATATGGATCATTTACCTCAAGCACCATTGACGGAGTACGTGCAACACCCTTAAGCATTCCAAAAAAGGCGATCAAGTAACAAGTAAC